AAATTGTTGATTTAGGCTAGTGTCTCCAGTACCCTAATGAGGGGGGGCGTTAGTTCGGGGGGGTTCTACCAAAGGTTCCTAGGTTTAGTGTCTCCAGGTTTCGGGCCAAGGGGGGGCGGCGGGGGGCCGGGTTAGTATCAGGGGTTCCTACCTATGGTTCCTAGGCAATGTTTTCCAGGTCCCCCAAAGAGGGCACCTTTTAAGTATCAGGTGGTTCCTACCTATGGTTCCTGGGCTAGTTTTTCCCCCAGGAAACCGGGTTTGAGGGCCCCCGGTTTAGTATCAGGGGTTTTCCTACCTAGGGGTTTCCTGGGTTTGGGTTTGTTTTTCCAGGTACCCTAAAGGAGGGCAGCTTTTGTATTTTGGTGGTTCCTACTAGGGTTTTCCCCTAGGCTAGTGTCTCCGGGTAGCCTGATGAGGGCAGCTTTAAAGGAATCAGGGGGTTTCCTCCCTTTTAAATGGGTTCCGGGGGTTTAAGGGGTCCCCGGGTTCCTAGGGTGGGCAGGTTATTATCGGGTTGGTTCCTCCCTATGGTTCCTATGCAAATGTCAAACGGTTTGGGCCGATGGAGCGGGAAGCTTTAAAGTTTTCAGGGGGGGTTCCTACCTAAGGGTTTCCTTTGGCCAGTTTCTCCATTTTGCCTGATGAGGGCAGGGGGTTAGTATCCCCAAGGGTGGTTCCACCAAATGGTTCCAGGCTAGGTCCCCCAACCCCGGATACCCGCGGAGGTTGGGTTAGTATCAGGGTTGGGTTTTCCCTCCCTATGGTTCCGGCCCTTGTCCCAGGTAGCCTGTTTGGGGAAAAGCTTTAATTTTCCAGGTGGTTTCCCTTGCCTATCCGGTTTTTAAAATGATCTGGGGATTCCGGGGGAAATCCAGCAGTCTTTTGTTTGATCACCCCTCTTCTCCACCTCGAGGGGGACCTAATCTTCCTTTAAACTCGGGGAAGGTTTTTTCCACAAGGGGGTTAAAGCTCGCTGACAAATTTCCCCTTTTTCCAGCGGGGAAAAAAACCCCATTTCCACTCCCAAACACTCCACATTGGCAGCCTCCCCTGCTGCCTGGGAAAGGGCAAATGCTAATGCAAAACGGGCTGATGGTTTGCACATTTCCGGGTTTTTCTTTTTCTTCTTCTTCTTCTTCTTTTTCTTGGTCCCGAAAGTCAGCCTTCTCGGTTTCCCCACCTTTCGGGGATTAAAGTCAGTTCGTTATTTTCCCATCGATCTTTTCCTAGGGATTTTAGGATTTTTTAGGAAAAATTAAATTTTTATATTTGATTTTTTTTTTTTTGGTTTAAATGGGAAAAAAAAAAAAACTAGCTATACAGAAAACTGGCAATGTTTCTTATTTTGACTTTCCCGGTTTTAAATACAAAATGTTAAATTTTTTCATCAGTTTTTAAAATTCTTTTTATTTTTTACATTTTCGGGTAAAGAGACCCCTCTATTTTTTATACAGGTTTCGGGAAATTTAAAAAAGGGGAAAAAAGCTTTTAAAACACAGATTCTATTTTTCTTTCTGTGGTTTTACTGAAGATCTTTTCTTTCCTGCTTCTCTGCCTCTTCTCTCCTACTGACAGTTTATTTAATAAATAAATCCCAGTCCACAAACATCCTGAGTAACATGTTCCTGTTATATATTATCATTAATGGATTGTCTGAAAGTATGTCTACAAATATCAAACATATTTCAAGGAAGATATAAAATAATACATTGTAGCAAACAATGTATTATTTGTCACCGACTGTAGTGATATAAAATGTCCAGCAGATGGCAGTATTCAGTGACGCAGTATCAATACTTTTTTCAAATCTTTATTTCAATTAAAGAATAAATAAGTAAAACAACTATTTACCAGTAAGAAAAATATTCCAGGAGGAGTCCTGCAATAAATAGGTATATAAAGTCACATTGATCATGTGACGTAGAGAGTCGGTATGACTGAGAAAGAAATGCTACAAAGTTTCATTTCAGTAGAAAATACATTGAGGTATTTCTGCATATTTAGGGCTGCATTTCAGGACTTTCACCATTTTAAAATCAGATTTTATCGTTTATCCCACTGATTTCAGTCACAGCTCAGAAATCAGGATGATTTCACTCTGATCACTTCCTGTATTAATATGATGCAGTTGTGGCGTCAGCTTCCATCTTTATTGAGTTAAAAGATCCAACCAATCAGATGAAATCATGTTTTAATGTTTATTTGCTCCCAGTCCTCTTCTCTCCCTAGGGAAACATGATTAGCATGCAGCAGGCTGGATTTTCCAGATCAGAGGGGACTCAGCTGAATGTGGAGACAGCCATAGTTTGTCCTGACACCCTGCAGCAATGTGAGCGTACCTCTGACATCTGAAGCGCCGCACTGCAGGATAACATAGAAAATCTATCTAGATTCTATCAGGGGCCTTATAAAGCAGCTCAGAAAGACTATTGATGGTTTCCCTTTTTATCGCTTCCTATAGCCTGAACATTATTTATGCTACACTTGATCATTCCCAGGTCTCCATTAGGTGGAAGGCCATAAACCTGTATGTTCCTCTGCAGCTCTTCTACTTTCCATCCTTTTCATATCAATGCTTTTCATGAGCAAAGCTTTCATTTTGGCTCATTTCATGAAAGGGCTCTCATGCAAAAGCATTTTATATATTCTTCTCAGAACTTTCTCCAACCTTTTCTTATTTCCAGTGAAGGAAGCAGACCAACATATTTTGGACAATTTCAAAGCTTTGTGGGAACAGTTTGGATCTGGATCCTTCCTCTTCCAATAGGTCAAAGTAGGTATGCATGTCAGAGTCTGGTGTGGATGAACCTGCCTGACCTGCACAGAGTCTGACCTTAACCTGAAATAACACCTTTAGGATGAATCACTGAGAGCCAGGCCTTCTCATCCAACATCAGGGTTTAATCACTAATGAGTTTATGAAAGAATAGTTTAAAAAAAAACTAAACACATATTGAACCCCTTTGCATCAGGAATGGGACATCACTAAAGATCATATGTAGGTCAAGGCAGGGGGGTGAATACTTCTTGGAATGTAATTTATCTTCTGCTACCTGAGTTTGCCAAATCCCCAACAGTAAAATTAAAAAGAGAGATCATATCTCTCCTATCCTGGCTTCTCTTCATTGGCTTCCTGTTAAATCCAGAATAGAATTTAAAATCCTCCTTCTCACATATAAAGCCTTAAATGGCCAAGCTCCATCTGATATCAGAGATCTGATTGTTCCTTATGTTCCTAACAGAGCACTTCGCTCTCAATCTGCAGGTTTACTAGTGGTTCCTAGAATTTCTAAAAGTAGAATGGGAGGCAGATCTTTTAGTTATCAGGCTCCTCTCCTGTGGAACCAACTACCAGTTTTAGTCCGTGAGGCAGACACCCTGTCTACTTTTAAGGCTAGGCTTAAAACTTTCCTTTTTGATAAAGCTTCTAGTTAGAGTGGCTCAGGTTATCCTGGCTGTGTGTTTCCTGGACGGGGCCGCCTGTGGAGCTGGTTGACAGTTGCCTTTTGTATCTATGCTTCTTTTTCTATGTCTGCTTCTGTCTCCTTGAACCCCAGTGGGCCTCAGCAGATGGCCGCTCACACTGAGCCTGGTTCTGCTGGAGGTTTCTTCCTGTTCAAAGGGAGTTTTTCCTCTCCACTGTCGCTACAAGCATGCTTAGTGTGAGGGATTGCTGAAGAGTCAATGAGTCGATGCAATCAGCTGGTTTTCCTTAGATAGAAAACTTTGAATCAATCTGACTGGATGATCTGGTGAACTGGAAAGTGACCTGAGATGACATGATGTGAATTGGAGCTATAGAAATAGACTGAATAGAATGGAAACAGTTCTTATCTACTGTTTGTTCTCATCCAAAAAGCACAATGTGAATTGAAATTCTAATTAGGCTTCAGTCGGCATACAGATATACAAGATCTTTTTAGATTTTCAGCCTGATGGTGCGTCCTGCGTGGTGTAGTGAACGGGGGTAATGAGGAGCGATCAGCTTCTAACGACCAGCTCCTCATCAGGAATCATTAAGTCAGGAGAATATCAAGCATGTCTGAACTTCAGTCGGCCCTCCTGAGGTGGTTGTGGTCAAACTGTGGTTGTGGTTACCAGAGCCTCGAGCACTGAGCATGCGCAAACGAGGGAGTTCTTCTTCTTCTTCTTCTTCCAGATTGACCAGTCCGAGTAGCGCCATCTCTCTCATCTGAGAACAGACATCGTCAGCTGGGAACTTTTAAGCCCTGCAGTTTCATTGTACACTTTGAGTTGCAGCTTGTAAATATCGCATGGTGTTCGCCCAGATTTAGTCTCAGTTTAAGTTCACGTGGGTCCCTGCTCATAAAAGGGTTAAAGGGAATGAGTTTACAGGTAATATAGCCAAACTGTCTTTGAATGAAGATAGCATTATGGAAAATGATTTTACTAAATCTAAAATAAATACTGTTATCATGAAGAAAGTAAACTCAGAATTGCAGTGACTTAGGAGGACGGAACTACAGATCAACACCTAATCTACGTATAAAAACTGCTGGGAAAATGGATGGAATTGGAGAAAATCAAAATGAAATGAATCTGTACTTATTCAGGGTGAGCATCCAACAGGCAGATATGATTATGGAGGAATGATTCTAAATACAGGCTGAGCAGAGAAAAAATACAGCAATGCTGTATTAATAGGAAATAAAGCAAACATTAAACTAAAAAAAATTAAAAAACTGTATATTTTAATTATTTAATATATTAAATAATTATTATAATAAGGGAAACTGGATTATTTACAATAAAAAACAAGGCTGGTCAGACGCTCTGGCTGATCCTCCAGCACAGTAGGTGGCGGTAATGCATCTTAACCTTGGATTCCATCCACCAATAATCCCATAAAGAAGAAGAATGTGACGAAAACAACAACAAGATCTTTGGTGGAATTAATTCATTCCGATTCAGACTCCATTTCAGTTGGTGGCGTTAATGTGTTTGCTGCATTAACGCCACCAACCACAAGAAGAAGAAGAGGAAGAAGAAGAAGAAGCCGGCCGGACTGTGCAGCTATCAGCTGTTAGCATTAGCTTTACTTTCCGTGTGCTAGCAGAGAGGCTGCTAATGTGTGAGTGTTTGCAGTGAGAATGTGTTGAGTCCAGCTGGAAGGAGAGTTTGTCAGCGAGCAGTTAACTCCTGCTGGAGAAACATTCCCAGAGTTTAAAGGAAGATTAGATCAGATCGAGGAGGAGAAGATGGATGATCAGCACAGACTGCTGGATTTCACCAGGATCCCCCAGATCATCTTACACCGGACAGGTAGGAACCACCTGATACTAACGCTGCCCTCATCAGGCTACCTGGAGACACTAGCCTAGGAACCCATAGGTAGGAACCACCTGATACTAACGCTGCCCTCATCAGGCTACCTGGAGACACTAGCCTAGGAACCATAGGTAGGAACCACCTGATACTAACGCTGCCCTCATCAGGCTACCTGGAGACACTAGCCTAGGAACCATAGGTAGGAAACCACCTGATACTAACGCTGCCCTCATCAGGCTACCTGGAGACACTAGCCTAGGAACCATAGGTAGGAACCACCTGATACTAACGCTGCCCTCATCAGGCTACCTGGAGACACTAGCCTAGGAACCATAGGTAGGAACCGCCTGATACTAACGCTGCCCTCATCAGGCTACCTGGAGCACTAGCCTAGGAACCCATAGGTAGGAACCACCTGATACTAACGCTGCCCTCATCAGGCTACCTGGAGACACTAGCCTGGGAAACCCATGGGTAGAACCCCTGTACTCGTGCCTCATCGGCTACCGGACACTGCCTGGCCCATAGGTGGGAACCACTGATAAAACGCTCCCCTATAGGTACCGGAGCACTACCCTAAAAACCTAGGTAAAAACCACCTGATATAACGCTCCCCTAGGGCTACTGGGAATCCCCAGGAACCTAGGTAGGAACCCATGTCTAACGCTGCCCTCATCAGGTACCTGGAGACACTAGCCTGGGAACCATAGGTAGGCCCACTGATATAAGCTGCCCTTCAGGTACTGGGACACTAGCCTAGGAACCATAGGTAGGAACCCCCTGTTACTAACGCGCCTTCAGGCTCCCTGGAGCACTAGCCTAGGACCATAGGTGGAAAAACCCCCCTGATCAAACGCTCCCTCATAGGCTCCCGGGAGGACACTACCCTAGGAACCTGGTAGGAACCACTGATACTAACGCTGCCCTATCAGGCTCCCTGGAGAAAAGCCTAGGAACCATAGGTGGGAAACCCCGCCTGATAAAAAACGTGCCCTCACGGCTACTGGAGAACTGCCTAGGAACCTTTAGGTGGGAACCACTGATACAAAACGTGCCTCATCAGGCTCTGGGAACAGCTAGGAACCAAGGTAGGACCACCCCGATTAAGCTGCCCTCTCGGCTACTAGGACATAAGCCTGGGAAAAACCCATGGTGGGAACCCAACCTGTCTAACGCTCCCCCTCTTCAGGCTCCCCTGGAGCACTAGCCTGGCCATGGTAGGAACCCTGATCTCGCTGCCCCAGGGTTTTGGGAACTAGCCGGGGGGAAACAAGGTAGGAAACCCTGTTTAAACGCTGCCCCCATGGTACCTTGGAGCCTCCGGGAACATGGGTGGAACCACCGATACTAAGGTCTCGGTTACCTGGAGACTGCTAAAAACCTGGGAACCATTTTTACTAACGCCCGCCCTCTCAGGCTACCGGAGCACTACCCCCTGGCCCATAGGGGCCCCCTGATCTACGCTTCCCCCTATCAGGCTACCTGGAGACCTACCCTAGGAAATGGGTGGCCCACCTGATACAAACGCTGCCTCTCAGGTACTGGAGACACTAGCTGGGAAACCCCCATGGGTGGAACCCCTGATACTAACCTGCCCCATAGGTTCTGGGCCCTTTGCCGGGGGAACAAGGTGGGAACCACCGATACAAACCCCGCCCTCCAGGCTCCCTGGAGACACTAGCCTAGGAAACCCCTAGGTAGGAACCATGATTAAAAAGTGCCCTCATCAGGCTACTGGAGGCCCAGCCTAGGAAACCATAGGTAGGAAACCCACTGATCAACGTCCCCCCTTTCAGGCTACCTAGAGCACTAGCCTAGGCCCATGGTAGGAACACCTGATACTAAGGGGGCCCTCATGGGAAAATGGAGACACTACCCTTGGCCCTGGGTTAAAACCCCATGATACTAACGCTGCCCCATCAGGTACGGGGGAACTAGCCTAGGAACCATAGGTAGGAACCACCTGATACAAACGCGCCTATCAGGCTACTGGAGACACTACCCTAAAAAACTAGGTGGAACCACCTGATACTAACGGCCCTCATCAGGTACTGGAGACACTAGCTAGGAACCATAGGTAGGAACCACCTGATACTAACGTGCCTCATCGGCTCCTGGAGCCCTAGCCTAGGAACCATAGGTAGGAACCCCCTGATATAACGTGCCCTATCAGGCTACTGGGAACTAGTTTGGATCCATTGGGGGGCCCAACTGTACTAACGTTTTTGCCCTAGGCCCTAGGACCTAGCCTAGGAAACCATAAGGTAGGAACCCATGGGAACTGGACGGCCCTCATCAAGGCAAACGGAGACCATAGCCCCTAGGAACCTAGGGTAAACTGATACTAACGTTTTGCCCTATCGGGCTACTGGAGACACTACCTAAGGCCCCATGGTAGGAACCACTATATAAAGTTGCCCCTCTAGGCTATTTGGAAAAGAACTTGCCCAGGGAACCTTAGGTGGAACCCCCCCTGTACTTAAACGCCCGCCCCCCTCCTCAAGGCTCCCCTGGGAACTACCCCTGGGAAAACCATGGTGGCCACCGTTAACCCCCCCCTCTTGGAACCTGGTGCCTAGCCCTAGGCATGGGAGGAAACCACCTGATACTAACTTTTGCCCTCATCAGGTCCTGGGCACTAGCCTGGGAAACCTAGGAGGAACCACCTGATACTAACGCTGCCCTCATCAGGCTACCTGGAGACACTACCCTAGGAACCTAGGTAGGAACCACCTGATACTAACGTCCCTCATCAGGTATTTGGACACAGCCTAGGACCAAGGTAGGAACCCCCTGATACTGCGCTCCCCTCATCGGCTACTGGAGAACAGCTGGAACATGGGTTTGGAACACTGATACTAACGCTCCCCTCATCGGGCTACTGGAGACATGCCTAGGAACATAGGTGGAAACCCCCTGATACTAACGCTGCCCTCATCAGGCCCCCAAAGAATTGTAGGAACCATAGGTAGGAACCCCCCTGATATAACGCCGCCCTCATCAGGCTCCCTGGGACATAGCCTGGAAACCATAGGTGGGAAACCCCCTGATACTAACGCCGCCTCATCAGGAAACCCTGGAGACATACCCTAGGAACCATGGGTAGGAACCCCTGAACAAACGCCGCCCTCATCAGGTACTGGAGAATACCCTAGGAACCATGGGTGGAACCCCCTGATACTAACGCCGCCCCATCAGGCTTCCCTGAGACACTACCCTAGGACCCTTAGGGGGGAACCACCTGTATAACGTCCCCCTTCGGCCCTGGGAAATACCCCAGGAACCTAGGTAGGAAAACCCCCCCTGTACTAACGCTCCCCCTCATCAGGTTACCTGGAGACATAGCCTGGAAAACCATGGGTAGGAACCCCTTTTTCTAACCCCGCCCTCATCAGGTCCCTGGGGACAGCCTGGCCCATAGGTGGAAAACCTGATTAAGCCCCCCCATGGCTACCGGAGACCTATTTTAGGAAAACCATGGTGGAACCCCCCAAACAACGTTCCCCTAAGGACCTGGAGACAACCCGGAAAAAGGAAGGAACACCCTGTACAAAACCCCTGCCCTCATCAGGCTACTGGGAACTAGTAGGAACCTAGGTGGCCCCGTCAAACGTGCCCCCAAGGCTACCTAGGACATAGCCTGGGAAAACCTAGGGGGAAAAACACCTGAACTGACGTCCCCCTCATCAGGTAGGAGACATCCCTAGGAACCATAGGTAGGCCCCACCGTACTAAGCTCCCCTCTGGGGGTACCTGGAGACACTAGCCTAGGAACCATAGGTGGAACCACCTGATACTAACGGCCCTCATCGGGCTCCCTGGAGACACTAGCTAGGAACCTAGGTAGGAACCCCCTGATACAAACGCCGCCCTCATCAGGCTCCCTGGGAACTAGCCTAGGAACCATAGGTAGGAAACCACCTGATATAAGGCCCCCTCATCAGGATACCGGAGACACTAGCCTAGGAACCATAGGTAGGAACCACCTGATACTAAACGCTGCCCTCATCAGGCTACCTGGAGACACTAGCCTAGGAACCATAGGTAGGAACCACCTGATACTAACGCTGCCCTCATCAGGCTACCTGGAGACACTAGCCTAGGAACCATAGGTAGGAACCACCTGATACTAACGCTGCCCTCATCAGGCTACCTAGAGACACTAGCCTAGGAACCATAGGTAGGAACCACCTGATACTGACGCTGCCCTCATCAGGCTACCTGGAGACACTAGCCTAGGAACCATAGGTAGGAACCACCTGATACTAACGCTGCCCTCATCGGGCTACCTGGAGACACTAGCCTAGGAACCATAGGTAGGAACCACCTGATACTAACGCTGCCCTCATCAGGCTACCTGGAGACACTAGCCTAGGAACCATAGGTAGGAACCACCTGATACTAACGCCGCCCTCATCAGGCTACCTGGAGACACTAGCCTAGGGAACCATAGGTAGGAACCACCTGATACTAACGCCGCCCTCATCAGGCTACCTGGAGACACTAGCCTAGGAACCATAGGTAGGAACCACCTGATACTAACGCCGCCCTCATCAGGCTACCTGGAGACACTAGCCTAGGAACCATAGGTAGGAACCACCTGATACTAACGCTGCCCTCATCAGGCTACCTGGAGACACTAGCCTAGGAACCATAGGTAGGAACCACCTGATACTAACGCTGCCCTCATCAGGCTACCTGGAGACACTAGCCTAGGAACCATAGGTAGGAACCACCTGATACTAACGCTGCCCTCATCAGGCTACCTGGAGACACTAGCCTAGGAACCATAGGTAGGAACCACCTGATACTAACGCCGCCCTCATCAGGCTACCTGGAGACACTAGCCTAGGAACCATAGGTAGGAACCACCTGATACTAACGCTGCCCTCATCAGGCTACCTGGAGACACTAGCCTAGGAACCATAGGTAGGAACCACCTGATACTAACGCCGCCCTCATCAGGCTACCTGGAGACACTAGCCTAGGAACCATAGGTAGGAACCACCTGATACTAACGCCGCCCTCATCAGGCTACCTGGAGACACTAGCCTAGGAACCATAGGTAGGAACCACCTGATACTAACGCTGCCCTCATCAGGCTACCTGGAGACACTAGCCTAGGAACCATAGGTAGGAACCACCTGATCCATCCATCAATCCATCCATCCAATCACAGTGGAGTCTTCCACTGTGATTGCCTCTCAGACTGAATCAAACCCCAAACAATATGGATGCCAAAATAACTAAATGATCAATATCTTCTGATGAATATCTACAGCACTTGCTTTCTCTTTAACTACACATTTATTTTGATAGCTGGGAGAAATATGGCAATAAATAGTGATTTTACTCCCATGCCAATATTGACCCACTGGGAGACAAAATGGAAGGAGTCTGTCTGGTGCATTAAAAACAGTTCTAGGTTGTTTTTTTTTGTTGTTGTTGTTGTTGTTGCTTTATCATAGGCTGCATCTTTCCCTGCAGACCCTAAAAAACAAAACAAGGGCTTTTAAAAATCCCAGCCTCAGTCTGAAGGGTGCAGCCTTTATACTTTCATAGCATTCTCCTTTCCTATGAGGGTAATTAGGGAGGGCCATTAGTTTTCGTTATTGTTGAGCTCATCAAAATCGTGAGATTGGCCTAATTTCAGTGTAATTTTGACAACTTTCAACATAACCAGCTGAAATGAGCTGTTGCCTGTTTCAAGAAGGAAGTTCAACCAACTCTGAGTTAAAACTTGAACTCTGAGTTGACTTATCCTGAGATTGGAAACTCTGAGTTTTGGGTTTCAGAACAGCTGAAATAAGTTAGTTCAACCAACTCTAAATGGACTGACTCTGAGTTAAGCGCGTGCACCACAACTATAAAAAGCCATTATCAATGGAGCACAGATATTACGAGTCACCATGGCAACAGCATCAGATAAAAAAAGGTGTGCATATTTCTCACCAGCAGAACTGGATGTGTTTATGCAAGCATATGCAGAATTTGAACATGTATTTAAAAAAAAGCAACACGGCTGCAGCGGCGAAGGAGAGAGAGTTAGCTTGGGTGAAAATAGCTGCTCGAGTCAATGCGTAAGTTTACATTTTAATTACTTTTATACAGTGTTGGGTGTAATGAATTAAGTTACTTAAGTCATATAAATACTGTAATTAAATTAAAGACTATAAAACAATAGTGGATTTAATATCAAATTTTAAAAGGTATATTTTGATTTGAACTTTCTCCCTCTAGTTACACACTTTGGTCAATTTAAGATTAATTCATGCAATAGGGGGTTTTCAGTGACGTCACTGGCCAGCTTCCGGTCCGCCATCTTGGGTGGCATATTATCGTATATCATATATATCATGTCGCAAATGGATAAGTACGCCAGCACGCTAGAGCCACCAGATCATGGAACATATCTGAGGAAATGTTCCGTGATCGACCATATGGACCCCTATGTCCTCCACGGTGCCTTGTTTAGCACTAATCCAGATGATTGGCCAAATGTACAGCACGGTGACATAGTTCATTACCCGGTGTTCAGTGAAAACCCTCTGCACACTCTTGAGGAAATGAGAGCGTACAAGGGTCTAGAGGCTCACAACCAGTTCACATCTGGTTGGGTACGAGATGTCGAAGTGATGTACATGAAGGAAATCGCCATCATACGTGGACGGGTGAGTTTTAATAAGATGGTAAAAATGTAAACAATCTGACGCAGGGCTCGCTATGCTAGGTGGCTAACAGCCGGCGGTGCGCGAACAGTTCCAAAGCTACAAGTCCTTGGAGTCTCATGTGCAGTTTACGAATGGATGGGTTCAGGAGCTGCAGCTCATAAAGCCAGCAAACAGTGCTAACCGTTAGTGCTAACAACCACTCAGGCATGTAATGTACTTTTAACGAGCTGCTATGTGTTTCAAAGGTTTGGTTAGTAATGTTAACTGCCAAACCTCCCTAAACCCTCCGGGTTTCTCACATATTTGAGCCTTTTCCCGCTGGTTGAAATCAAGTTAAGGTGAAATTAATCAAATTAAAACACGGCTGAGAGAGGGAGTCCAGTACGCGGTAGTCATAGGCAGTAGTCTGAATAGCGGCGGCGGAGACGGTCAACATTGCGGCCACGGAAAGTAATACGTCATGACGCCCAAGCCCTATTATTAATATATTCTTACATGTTTTAAATGCTTGACAGTTAAATACCTGTGACAAAGTGAGCACTGCAGACTCTGGCGTATTCCAGCTTAAAGGATAGTACACCCAAAACATGATTAGCCTTCATTTTCTACTCACCCCCATGCTGAACAACACTCTGGAGTACTTTTTTGATATCTCAAATGCATCTGGAGATCTGGGAGGCTTCTTGCTGTCTGCTGACATTCAAATAATGGAGGTCTATGGCGCCCGAGACAGAAAGGTCCATAAAAGTCCACAAAAAACGTGTCAATATTCCTCCATACTGCTCGTCCAATGTATTCCAAGTGTCCTGAGTGAGTAGCATCCAGAATTTACTCGAAACGAAGTCATTTAGAATGTTTTTAGAGCATAAACAGTAGTGTATAGGATTTCCTAAAAGCGCGATCACGAGTCTACGGAAACGGCGGCAGACCAAACCAGATGAAAGTGCGCATTCAGCGTCTGCTCTGCCGATAATGCAAGCGTAGAAGAAGAAATGTGCTGTTTACCTGTGCAAAGAAAGAAACAACGAAAGAAAAATGTCTGAGGACTTCAGTGTTGAGGAAGAGCATGAGTTCTTTGCCGAGCTGAATGCGCACTTTCATCTGGTTTGGTCTGCCGCGGTTTCCGTAGACTCGTGAACTCGCAGGAGCGCGCTTTCAGGAAATCCTATGCACTACTGTTTATGCTCTAAAAACATTCTAAATGACTTCGTTTCGAGTAAATTCTGGACGCTACCCACTCAGGACACTTGGAATACATTGGACGAGCAGTATGGAGGAATATTGACACGTTTTTGTGGACTTTTATGGACCTTTCTGTCTCGGGCGCCATAGACCTCCATTATTTGAATGTCAGCAGACAGCAAGAAGCCTCCCAGATCTCCAGATGCATTTGAGATATCAAAAAAGTACTCCAGAGTGTTGTTCAGCATGGGGGTGAGTAGAAAATGAAGGCTAATCATGTTTTGGGTGTACTATTCCTTTAAAACCGTCCAAATCGGACCTGGATATCCGTGTCAGCCATAGGTGACGGCGTTGTTCAGATAGCTGTTTTGTTTTTTCACATTGATTCACGATTACGGCTGGTATGCGATAGAAAGAGCGTTGATCTCCACCTCCACGGCCGTGCAACCAACAATTACACACAATTTCACAATTTTTCACTGTCAATACTGCCTAAGGCTGCCACCCAATATGGCGGACGCGCTGAGTAGTCACGTGAGCGTGACGTCACCTGAAAACCCCCTATTGAATATTGTTTATTTGAAAGCATTAGAAGTGCAGTTTCTTGTCTCTCCTTGTATTGTTCAAGTGGTTGAGGTTGATTTCGGATTTAGAAAGTAATTAATAAATAAGTAAAACAAATTAGTAAGTAGACCAATACTTTCTAGAGACAGTAATTATTACATTAATCTAATTAGACTTGTTGAAGATAAAATCTGTAGTTAGTAATTAAGAACTATTTTAGAGTAACTTACCCAACTGTTATAATATCAGAGGTGAAACTGGAGGAACAGTATTTTATTAAACCTAATTTAGTTTCCATGGATAGGTGCAATCCTGCAGGCATCAAAAGAACATGGCAGCAGCTGAAAATGAAATATAAAAACATACTTCAAGCAGGTAAGCCTTGAGCACATCATGGGAGTAGAGTAGCTACCTGGCTTTACAAACAGGATCATCCATAAAAGGACATGCCATTTCATTCCCTTTGATGCGCTCTACGTGACTGAAATGTGTGCAATGAATACTGTATGTCCCCAAAGAATCAATGAGGTGTTTAAACACCACTTCCTCTTTAAAAAAGGGGAGGAGACCAAAATAAACTCTGGATTTTCTGAAGAAAACCTGCTCCCGACCAGGTTAGGTTCACAGAGTAAATTGCCATGGTAACTGACTCTGAGTATAAGTTACCTCTCTTTCAGAAACGGGCTTGACTTACTCTGCTTTCTCAGGTTTAACTTACCTCCCTTTCTGAAACAGAAAACCCAGAGTTTCCCTCATTTCAGGGTTAACAAACTCAGAGTTTTCACTTAACCTCCTTTCTGAAACAGGCCCCTGAACAGTCCTGGGAAGGGAGTTCAGATTTCAGTCTATTGCCAGAATTACATTGTAGCAGAACCTGTGTGAGAGCTGCAATGCCTGCTGGGGGATGTAGTCCCCGTCTGGTTATAAGCAGTTAGATCAACACATGGATGATTAAAGTGAAGTCTCCTCTCTTTCCCCTCCAACATTACGTCTTTCTCCTGTGTTTGTCTTTCCAGACCTCCTGCAGGTTGGAAAAGAGGAGGATTTCTCTGAGCAGCAGCTCTGGAAACAGGAGAGGAATTCCAGTTTGGACCAAGAGGAACCAGAACCTCTGCAGATGAAAGAAGAGCAGCTAAAGCCAGAAGATCCCTGGACTAAAGAGGAAACCATGGAGCTCCCCATCACTGAGCAGGAGGAGCAGCTGCTCCTCAAGCAGGAGGAAGGAGACGTGGAAGAGAAACCATTCCCATGTTTGGCATGTGGAGAAAACTTTCTAAAGGAAGAACATTTAATGGTTCACATGAGAACTCACACAGGTAAGAATTCCTTGTCCTGTATGATCTGTGAGAAACGTTTGACTAAAAAAAACATTTAAATACATGATGACTCACTCAGATGAAAGGCCGTTACTTTTAGAGTTAAAGAACCACAGGTGAGAAACATTATTCATGCATAAAGTGTGAAACAAACTATAGCCCCGTTTCCACTACCCTCTGAAACTGTTCCATGCCGAGTTCGGACCGAGCTTGGATCAGTTGACCATGCAGAACTTGGTTCCTTACGTTTATACACCACGCTAGCGGGTTCCTCGCCTCCTAGGGCTGATCTTTGGTGCTACTGCTAGAATTGAACGAGGGAATAAAGCAAATCAAAATCGTGCCCAGAACATTCAGGAAGTTACGTTTGGTTATAATTGTGATATTTCGTTGTTTGCAGAGAGTCAGGCAAAGAAGACATCCTTTAGTATCACCACACTCTTTTGAAGCCATTTAATAAAATGTAGTATTAAGAAGATTCCGATTGTTGTTTACAGTTGTTCTTCTGTTTTATGTCGGTTGGCAAGCGATAATGATGTACATTACTGCCAACTACTGGAAGCTGACTGTAAGGAGATGAAGCAGTCTGCTCATGAGCTCTTTGTTATCAGAAAAACGAGCCAGAACTGAACCACGCCGAGCTTTACTGATGAACTAGTACCAGTTTAGTGCACTTTGGTTGTGTCTAGCACGGTCCAGTTAAGTTTGCGTTCCATTTACACTCAACAGGTATCGCGGTTACCATGCATGGACCGATGTTAGGGTAGTGGAAATGGGGCTTATGTTTTAACAAAAGATTTCATGCTCGTCATTAGAAGTTACAGCAGTGTGACGCCTCAGGAATGAACAGTAGAGACCTTTCCATGTTTGATTCATGACAACAAAAATGTCCATCTAGAAACTCCTGCAACTCATTACATGATAAACTGACAGCTTAAAGATCTTTTTTCTAGGCAAGGTTGGAGAAAAGCTTTCATGAACATTGATAATTCCACTGTTGACATGGAAACCTGATCAGATAAGATATAATATCGCAAACCCGGTAAAACAAATGATCTATGGGAAACCAAAGGGCTGGCTTTAGAGTCTGGAGTCTAGTGTTGACTAAACTGTCCTAAAACAATGAAACATGTTTGTTTAAAGAGTAAAAAATACTAAATCTATCGCTGTTATTTCATTTAAAGTTTTAATTAATGCTGATCACTTTGCTAAGTTGCCTGGAAGTTGGCTGTATGTTTCAAATAAATATGTGAAGGCGAATAAACTAAACTTTAGCACTCTGCAGCCCTGCTCACCGAAACAGAAGAGAAAGTGAAACAAATTATTTAAAATTTATAACTGCACTATCTGATAAAGATCTACTAAAATGTAACCTTCTTTTGGGGGAGGAGAACTCTGTTAAAGTAATCCTGAAGGTTATTAGAAAGTGGTCAGAGAGGACAGGGTTGTGAGGAAATACTGTTATTTCTTCACATTCTATGCCGTATGTCAGCACAAGATCCAAAGTATGAAGATGAGAATGCGTGGGACTATTCACATTTTGAACAAAGCCAATAGTGTCTAAGATAGCATTAAAGGCTGCTCTTAAGCTATCGCCTTCAATGTCAGCATGGATGTTAAAATCTCCCACTATGATGACCCTGTCAGTATTTAATACCAAATCAGAAAGGAACTCTGAAAACTGATCTTCAGACCAGGGAGACGATAAGAAGTTACAAGCAATAGATGTTTAGTGGCTTTGGAATTTAGATGAGGAAACTCTGGGTTAAATGTTCACCCTTCTTGCCACGTGTTTCAAACAGGTGTGCCTTTGTTTACACTGTTAACTGCAAAAGACGACGTGCGGGGCATTCACTGACCTTCTATAACCTATGGGGTGATGTCCAAGCTGCAGTGTATGTTGGAAGATGTAGTTGCAGTCTGGTTATATGAACTTAGATCCAATACAAACAGGATTGAAGTGAAGTTTCCTTCCTTTCCCCTCCAACATTACGTCTTTCTCCTGTGTTTGTCTTTCCAGACCTCCTGCAGGTTGGAAAAGAGGAGGATTTCTCTGAGCAGCAGCTCTGGAAACAGGAGAGGAATTCCAGTTTGGACCAAGAGGAACCAGAACCTCTGCAGATGAAAGAAGAGCAGCTAAAGCCAGAAGATCCCTGGACTAAAGAGGAAACCATGGAGCTCCCCATCAGTGAGCAGGAGGAGCAGCTGCTTCTCAAGCAGGAGGAAGGAGAGACATTTATGGTTATTTCTGATCACGAGGAAAAGGGCCAAATTGAACCAGAACCCATCAGCAACCAAGTCGTCTCTCAGAACTCTAGTGACAGTCAGAACCAGGATCCAGAAGAAATCCATCAAATAGACTCAGAGGGAAATAAAAGTCCCACAGAGAATAAGGGATGTCAGAGAACCAAAGAGCATAACAATGATGTTCAAACACTTAAAAGGCAAGAGGGAAGTCGCACGGATAACAGGTCTCACTCTTGCACAATCTGTGGCGAATCTTTTTCTCTGAACAATGATTTAGTTCAACACTTGAAAAGTCACAAGGGAGAGAAGTGCTTCCCATGTTTGACATGTGGAGAAAGCTTTCTAAAGAAAACCCATTTAAAGGTTCACATGAGAACTCACAGCGGTAAGGAGATCTATGAATGTCCGTCCTGTGGAAAGACTTTCATTGATCAATATGGTCTCGACAGACACCTCATAACTCACACAGGTGAGAGGCCGTTCACCTGTACCATCTGTAACAAAAGCTTTACTGGAAAGGGTAGTTTGTCTTACCACCTGACAACCCACTCAGATGAAAGGCCTTTTTCCTGTAACACCTGTAAAAAAACATTTAAAGAAATCGATGATTTCAATGTACATCTGAGAACTCACACAGCAGAGAGGCCTTTTGAATGTCACTTCTGCAGAAAACGCTTTACTTATAGACCTAATCTTAATAGACACATTGAAATTCACACAGGTGAGAAACCGTACTGCTGTTCGATTTGTGATAAAAGTTTCACTCAAAAATCTAATCTGACTTCTCACATGAGAACTCACACAGGTAAGAAACCGTTCTCTTGTACCATTTGTGGCAGAAATTTTAGTCAAAAAGGAACTTTGACTAAACACATAACAATTCACACGAGTGAGAAACGCTTTCCATGCACAACATGCGGGCTGAAATACAGCAACCAAAAAGATCTGATTCTTCACATGAGACGCCACAGCAGTGAGACGCCACAGGGCTCAGCCTTCATCCAGACTGTTTTTGTTTTAGTCTGAAACCCAAAATATACCAGGATTTTCTTTTTGTTTTATTGTGCTAAAATGACAAATCTGGAAAGTTTCATTTTTTGTGTGTGCATAAAATGAAAATGGGAATTTGAAAATGGGATTTTTTTGTGCAAAAAATAAGGAATTTGATGATTTTTTGTTTTCCATTTTCTAATTTTGTTTGAATAAACGAAAACATAGATTTTTTTTTTGTTTCTGCTTTAAAAATGTAAACAAACTGCCTGTATGAACACTGAACACAGGAACACAGGAAGGCACATAAAAGACCTTTTCCATGTTTGACTCGTGGTAAAATGTCCGTCTTTTGACTTAACTTTCAGGTTAAGATCTTTTCAAGTCAAGTTTGGAGGAAAACGTACTAACAGCATTAATCTCTACATGAAAACTTGATAAGGCGTAATATTGTAAACCTGCTAAAATAATTAAACGTTGGGAAGCTTAAGATCTAAGTTCAAAAAGTTCATTATTAAACTAAAATGCTAAAACACTGAAACATGTTTGTTTAAAGAGTTCATCAAGATTAAAGGTTCTGCTGTTATGATATAAAGTTGATATTTTTGCTGAACATTTTGTTTGAATTATTTAAAGAAGTTAAACACTAAAAGTTTAATGTTTCTGCCTTTTAAAGTTTTTGCTTGATTCTGTTTTATTTACCTGCTATGATTAAAGGAATGCATCGTCTGTTTCTGTCATCGGCTCTGGATGCTTTTCATTCATGTAATTACTTTTTGATTATTTCACCAAGCAGAAGTAAAACCTCATGGATCATGGCAATAAGTTTCTTTTTATGGCTTTATATCAGTCACAAAGGTTTGTTTTTTATGAAATTCTGAGCCGACCTAAAGCTCCAGTATATATTTTATTGCGTTAAAATGCTCAGAGGATGAGGAAGTCACATTTCAGGTTTCACATAAACTCTAAGAACATTGTTCTGAAATTTTGGTTCATTTTCTAAACATTGTTTGGCACGGATCATTTGTATTTGTCATTATTTTGAGCATTTCTTTGCTGAAATAATTTAAGATATGCAAAAATAATCATCGTGACATTGATATACGTCAGTAGACCAGTTTTCAGAGTTTCTATCTAATTTAGTGTTAAATACTGACAAGGTCATCACAGTGGGGGACTTAAACGTTGAAGGTGATAGCTTAAATGCTGCATTTAATGCTACCTTGGGCTCAATTAGCTTTAGACCCATTCACGCTTGAATAGAGAAGAATAAGAATAATCCTAAATTTCAATAATAGGTTCACAAAAGCTGCAGACACTGGTGTATAAAACCACTGTAAAGTGGCTTGAGATGACATGTGATGTGAATTGGCACTACGGTATATAAATAAACTGAACTGAATAATAGTATTTTTTATTTTTATTCAGTTGTCAGTAGGGCTGCAACTAACGATTATTTTGCTAATCAATCTATATAATTCTTATTAAAAATCAAGAAAAGTTCCGTTAGAGAAGATGATATGCAAAATATAGACCAACTGAAACTAAACTTTGCACCACACAAGGAGTTGAGGATAGATTATATTTATGGTGAAAAATGTTTATATATGTTTTACTATTCTGGTATAATTACTGCTCTTTTAAGAGTCTGCAGTTCAGTTTATGATTAATCAATTACAGAATTAGTTGATTATTTCAATAACTTTTTTTTCATGATTATTTTCATTGTTTCTGCCCAAGCTGTCAGACTGACCCGGAGCCATAGCTCTGTTGAGCTGTTTGATCTTCCAGCTCTCAGCAGTAATGACTTTATGTGATTCTCTCCGTTTGATGTCTGACCCCTGGCAGGGAGGAGTTTCATAGGGTGAAGTTCAACAGCTAGTCATCAACCTGAGGGTTTAAATAAATTAGTGAATCATTTTCTAAAACCTTCTAAATAAAATGTAGAAAATGTATATTGATTCTACAAATATTGAGGATTAAAAGTTTTTTTTTTTTTTTTTTTTTTTTTTACACTGCCCTGTCTGGCAATGTGGCAATAAGAATAATTGTCTTGATGCCAAAAAGAGCCCGACAGATTTTACTTTTACAAATGGAGCAGTAGGGCTATTGCCATAGTGTTCCGCTTGATTTACGCATATAGGTTGCTTTATTATAATTATGCATGGATTTTTACAAATTATATGGACACTGCAGTATTAGTAGAACAGAAGAAGTGACACTCAAAGGGACAAAAACCATAGATTCTCAGCTTTGGGAATATCCAGCGGTCAGGTGAACCGGAACCGGAAACACTAGAGGGAGATCAGATGATGATCAGATGATGAGTTCTAGGTCCATGGGAATTTTCAGGGCAATACTAAAATAAAGCCAGGGAAGGACTCACTGTGGATGACTTGTGGTTGCTCCTTGGTTCCTGTTTGTGGGGACTGTACAGATAAGGAGATACTTGGCTGGAGGGCGGACAGGCATGTAGTTTGTGTTGCCTTTTTTATCTCTTATTGTTTTCACCTGTATAGTGTCCTTGAGTGTTTTGACGTCGCTTGAAATAAAATGTATTATTATTGCCAGACCTCCTGCAGGATTGTGTTGGAAAAGAGGAGGATTTCTCTGAGCAGCAGCTCTGGAAACAGGAGAGGAATTCCAGTTTGGACCAAGAGGAACCAGAACCTCTGCAGATGAAAGAAGAGCAGCTAAAGCCAGAAGATCCCTGGACTAAAGAGGAAACCATGGAGCTCCCCATCAGTGAGCAGGAGGAGGCTGGAGGTTAGAGATGAACTGATTCAGGCTTTTAAGGCAGATACTGATTTTGAACCTCTCTTATCCAAGATATGTGCCCCCCTGGTTCTTTTATTGTTTTCTTGAGCCATTTATAGGCAATATTGTTATTTCTTCCTCTATTCAACAAAAACGACATATTTTTTACCAAATTTTAATGACGAAAAAGAAAATGAATCAAGCAGCAATGCATGGTACCTCAAAACATGGTTGTTGAATGAACTAATGAACTTATGAACACAAACCAGAAAAGCATTGAACTGAAATATCATCTGAAAAATCATCTGAGCTGAGTTTGCACGGGGATCTTCAGATGCCTCCCTCTGAGGTGTTCCAGGCACGGCCCGCCTGCAGAAGGCCCAGGGGACGACCCGGGACCATTGGAGGGACTGTGTGTCTCCCCCAGCAGAGGAGGTGTGTAGGAGGAGGGAAGTCTGGGAGTCTCTGCAGAGACCGCTGCCGCCAGGACCTGATCCTGGACAGAGCGGAATACGATGATACTGAGTTAGTGAATTAGTGAGATGCCTGAACAGGAGCTGAACAGGAGAAGTATTTGGATGTTACAGACTTAATGCAGACTGTTAATAAAAATAGAAAATAGCAGAGGAGTTAGGGATGAGCCGTACTGATGAAGGGAAGGTTAGAGATGGGCCTGTAGTTCTGCAGGTCAGCTGTTCAATGTGCTCCTTATTTAGTAATTGCTATTTTTAGAGCAAAGAGGAAAAAAACTGGAAAATTAGCTGTAATTAGAATATTGTCCCTAATAGTTCCTAAATACACAGATCTGAGAGACAGATTAACATTAGCTTTCCTTACTACTTACCAACCTACAAAATGATCTAATGTATTAAAATCTTTTTGAAGATCAGTATCTATAATTACAAGATATTGTTTTATATCTATTGCTGCTGAAATGTCCTCTACTAAATCAGCTGTTGGTAATGGAGAGGAGTGATTAGATTAAAATCTGTACTGATGTTACTTAATGTGGCAAGTAGGGCGAAGTGAGCCACACAGGTTTGTTGACTAAGAGGGAAGAACAGTCCAGCTTACATTAGTGGCTTTATTGAATACACAAGTTTGAAAATCCCATTTATCCATACAAATGTAATAACATAGCTGGACCAAGAGCTGTGGCCAACGGTGGAAATAACTGGAAGGAAATCAAAATATAAGACACAATACCATTAAAAAAAAAAAAAAATGCACCTCAAATCAAGAAGAAAACAAGCACCCGGGGATTCACCACTACAGACATGAAAATCAGCTCCTAGAAACACAACAAATGTTAAAAACATGGAGTGATCAATGCAAAAAAAAAAGAAACAGGAAATAAAAAGACATTTTTTTCTGTCATTTTAATCACCAAACAAATAAATGTGTCTCTGTTCATTCAGATGCTACTGAAAGAAGAGTGAATCGAACCTGAGTGATAAATATTTCACTGTGTAAAATGAACACAAAGACCACAGATTAAAATACAATGATATCTTTATTAGCTACAATCACACAGTATTATATTTAATAACTAAGCAAAACACTAAACACTACTGAAAATAAGTGGGAAGAGAAATTTAAGGGAAGAGGGTTTAAGAGCCCTTTGAAAGTCTGAGATTTTCAAAGTTTAAGGCTTAATGCATTTAAAAGTGTCCTTTATAATAGCAGCAGATGAAATGTAAATAAACCCTGACACACACAGAGATGTTGACTGCAGTCAAAAACAGTGAAGTTTCATTCAGTTTATGGTGAAAGATGGATCATGACTCAGGAATGCATTAAACTATGATGAGGCTGTAAGACCCGTTAGCTTAGCTGGCCCCAGGGGTTCTGGTTCAGGTCGGGTCCAACCTAAACAAAGAGAGGGTTAACTCACGATGTAGCAGTTAGCTTCAGTAGCATGTGACTTGTTCGGTCTGTAGTGAGCTTTAGCATTCAGTGAAACTTTTAAAATCATCAGCAGTTGAATCAGAAGCTTATTTTCCAATAAAAACACCAACGCGGCTATTCTATCTAGTTATAGTTCACCCAAACTGAGCACTTTTAAGCATCAGATGGGAGGAGGGGGAAGGGCAGTTACTGTTTTTGGTTCGGTGGAGGGAAGGCCTTTGGCTCAGTTCGGTTTTCTGCAGGCCCGTCTTTGGTCCAGTCTGTTCGTCCAACAGCAGCTCAAAGAGATTTGGATCAATCCGTTACATCCGATAAGAAATAAGAGCCTTTTAACCCTTTTTAGGATCTGCGGGAACCTTAATCAAAGCGGATGCTGGAAAA